AAAATGGAAGGATCTCCCATGTTCTTGGATAGGTAGGATCAACATAGTAAAAATGGCAGTTTTGCCAAAAACAATCTTCAGATTCAATGCAATTCCCATCAAAATCCCAACACAATTCTTCACAGACCTTGAAAGAACAGTGCACAACTCTATATGGAAAAACAAAAAACCCAGGATAGCCAAAACAACCCTGTACAATAAACAAACTTCCAGAGGCATCACCATCCCTGACTTCAAGCTCTATTATAGAGCTATAGTCCTAAAAACAGCTGGGATTGGCACAAAAGTAGACAGGTAGACCAATGGAATCAAATTGAAAACCCTGATATTAGCCCATATACCTATGAACAACTGATTTTTTACAAAGAAGCTAAAGTTATACAATGGAAAAAAGAAAGCAGCTTCAACAAATGGTGCTGGCATAACTGGATGCTGGCATGTAGAAGACTGCAGATAGATGCATATCTATTGCCATGCACAAAACTTAAGTCCAAACAGATCAAAGACCTCAACATAAATTCAGCCACACAGAACCTCCTAGAAGAGAAGGTAGGGGGTACCCTTGAATTGGTTCAGGAGACTGTTTCCTGAACATAACACCAGTAGCACAGACATTGAGATTGACAATTAATAAATGGGGCCTCCTGAAACTGAGAAGCTGCTGTAAGGCAAAGGAGACAGTCAGCAAGGCACAACGGGAGTCCACAGAAAAGGAAAAGATCTTCACCAACCCCACAACTGACAAAGGGCTGATCTCCAAATTATACAATGAACTCAAGAAGCTAGCCACCAAAACACCAAACAATGCAATTAAAAAATGGAGTGCAGCACTAAATAGAGACTTCTCAACAGAGGAAACTAAAATAGCTAAAAGACACTTAAGAAAGTGTTCAACATCCTTAGCCATCAGGGAAATGCAACTCAAAACAACTCTGAGATGCCATCTTACTCCCATCAGAATGGCTAAAATCAAAAACAGCAATGACAATCTATGCTGGAGAGGATGTGGAGAAAGAGGAACACTCCTCCATTGGTGGTGGGAGTGCAAACTTGTACAGCCACTTTGGGAAATCAGTATGGCGATTCCTCAGGAAACTGGGAATCAGTCTACCACAAGATCCAGCAATTCCTCTCTTGGGCATATACCCAAAAAATGCACATTCATACAATAAGGACATTTGTTCTACTATATTCATTGCAGCATTATTTGTAATAGCCAGAACCTGGAAGCAACCTAGATGTCCCTCAGCTGAAGAATGGATAGAGAAAATGTAGTACATTTATACAATGAAATATTACTCAGCAGAAAAAAATGGCATCTTGAAATTCACCTCGAACTTTGTTTGTAGACTTATTACTCAAGCTAAGACTTAAAATATTATAAGGAGTAGGTATGGAGGAGTTCTTCATTCATGTACTTAGTTTTAGTGGAAATGCTTTGAGTTTTTCTCCAATTTAGGTTGATGTTGGCTGTGAGCCTGAAGAAGGTCACCTTTGTCATGTTAATGTGTGTCCCTCATATCCCTAATCTCTCCAGGAATTTTATCATAAAAGTACTGTTGCATTTTTTCAAAGGCCTCTTCTGTGTCATGAGATGATGATGTGTTTTTGGTCTTTCATTCTGTTTATGTGGTAGTCCATGTTTCTTGATTTATGTATGTTGAATCATACCTGCATCTCTAGGATGATGCCTATTTGATTATGTTGAATAATCTTTTCACTGTGATCTTGTATTTGGTGAACAAGTATTTTATTTTAAAAAATGCATCTATGTATCCTCTGTTGTGCTGAAAAGCCTACATTGTGTTAACAGTAGACTCTTAATCGGCAAACTTGAACCTAATAGCTGTCTAGCTTTTAAATAGTAAAATTGACTACAAACCCAGAGAAAACAAGCATCTTGGTCAGAATTTCAGAAAAGTTAATAAAAAGGCAGTGATATTACTGCAGCAGAACACCCATGGCTGTCTTCCCTGTCCCCTTATACCCATCTCCTGTACTTTCCACTGATCTCCCTCTTCTTATCTCCCCTCACTCACAGCTTGTTTTGTCCCAGCCCGAACAGTAGTAGACACTCCCTGCTAACTCAAGGACCACTACTCTCAGAAAAACAAGTAGGCTGAAGGTGGACCCACCTTTTACTCATGCTCCTGTGTTCCAATCACACCAATTTTATCCCCAGCTCTGTAACAGGAAACCTGCTCTGGTCTCCCTTTCAAACTCTCTGACCCCATCTCCAATGGGTCACAATGACCAACCTTTCTTCTCCCAACTCATTCCAGCATCCCAGCATCCAACAGGAGCATGTATTCCTTAGGAATACACCAGCTGAACAGACAAGGGAAACAGTCAATAAACAATCATAACACTCTTCAGAAATCCAGAAAGGGTACAAAACTCAAGGACCAAACACTACCCAACAAAGAGAAATCCAGAAATTGGCACTTAGACAGACAATTCTGCCAAACGCAGATACCTAGATGCCTGCATGAAATCACAATAAGATCCAGGACATTATGTCTCTGCTAGAGTTCTGCTCTTGTACCACTGCAGGCTCTGACTATTCCAACATAGTTAAAGCACAGGGAAAAGAATTTAACAACAATTAAATGAATATGATAGAGACCCTTAAAGAGGAAATTAATAAAACCTTTAAAGAAATCCAGAAAGACATACACATGCATACACACACACACACACACACACACAGACACACACACACACACACACACACACACACACACACACACACACACACACACACACACAAATTGGAGGAAATGAACTTGGAAGAAAAAAATCTTAAAATCACATCTGAATATGGTGAAGCCCTTCAAGAGGAAATGAATAAATACCAGTGTAAAGAAATGAATAAAACTGTTCTAGTCCTGAAACTGGGAAAAGAATCAATAAAGAAAACTGAAACGAAGAGAGTTCTGGAAATTAAAATTTTAGGAATTATAACAGTAACTACAAGAGGCAAGAATACAAGTTAAATCTCAGACATTGACAATATTGGAGAAGAAATGGATACATTGATCAAAGAAAACGTTAAGTAAAAAAAAAATAAACAAAAAAACCCCAAACCCTTAAGACACAAAATATCTAGGAAATCTGGCATACTATGAAGACACCAAAATTAAGAATAATAGGAATATAAGAAGAAGAATACTAGCTCAAAGGCCCATAACATATTTTCAGTGAAATCATAGAAGAATTTTTTTTCTAAACTAAAGAAGAGGAGGTGCATATTAAGGCACAAGAAACATAGAGAACATCAATTACATTGGACCAGAAAAGAAAGAAAGTGAGAAAGTGAGAAAGTGCTGCATCACACAATAATCAAAACACTACACACACAGGACAAAGAAAGTGCCGCATCACACAATAATCAATCAAAACACTACACACAGGACAAAGAAAGTGCCGCATCACATAATAATCAAAACACTACACACACAGGACAAAGAAAGTACCCCATCACATAATAATCAAAACACTACACACACAGGACAAAGAAGGTGCCCCATCACATAATAATCGAAACACTACACACACAGGACAAAGAAAGTACCCCATCACATAATAATCAAAACACTACACACACAGGACAAAGAAAGGATATTAAAAATTGCAAAGGAAAGAGATCCAAGTAACATATAAAAGCAGAACTATTAGAATTATATCACACATTTGAAATGGGACTCTAAAATGTTTGGACACATGTGCTGCAGACTCTAACAGACCACAAATGTCAGTCCAAACTACTATACCCAGAAGAACTTTCAATCACCATAGATGGAGAAAAAGTTTTCCCATGATAAAGCTAAATTTAAACAATATCTGTTTACAAATCCAGCCATATAGAAGGGAAACTCCAGCCTAAGGGTATTAACTACATATAAGAAACATAGGGAATAGATAATCTCAGAACAGAAATATCAAAGATTAGCACATTTACAAACATACATACATGCCACCACCATCACCAGCAACAATACAACAGGACTCAACAATTATGGATCATTGCTCTTTCTCAGAATCAATGGTCTTAATTCCCCAATTTAAAAAACAACAACAACAACAAAACAAACAAAAAGAACCAAAAACCACAGACTAACAGAATGGATTTGAAAATAGGATGGATCTTTTTGTTGCGTCCAAGAAACATGTCTCAACATCAAGCATAAACATTATTTTAGGCTGAAGGATTGGAAAAGGTACTCAAGTCCTCATCACAGAAATGTCTTTCCACAGCAGGTGTGAACACTGTAGAGACCCACAGACAGATAGTACAAAGAGAGCCAGAGACCGTGGAATACTCAGCCCTAAATGGGATGACTCCAACAAATCCCTCCCCTCAGAGCTCAGGCAAGCCTGCAGAAGAGGAGGCAGAAAGGGTGTAAGAGCCAGAGAGCATGGAGGATGCCAGAAGAATAAGGATCTCTGTGTCAAATAAATAGGAAGCTGCTAAGCCCTGTAAGAAGCAGAAGAAAGCTTAGTAGGAATGCACAGGGTCCTGTAGGGAAAACACAAAGACCAAAGAAGTATCAAATACACTGAGCACAAGAAACACAAAGGAATGGAGGGACTTCAGATGATGTGTGTCTTCAAGGGTCAGACGCCATACACAGGAGAAGCTGGGCTGCTTAAGTGCAAGGCTTCTTGCCCCACAGGTCCAGGTCCAAGATTTAAAGGAGCAGGATAAAGAAGGAAGACTGGGTTTTCACAGGAACTTGTTTGGAATAGGAACAAATGGGAACTTCTGCCACTTGAGTGGTGTCACTGCAAAGGGAGGTGGGAAAGTCAGGCTCTGATGGGAGCAAGAAAGCACCACACAACTGAATACTAATGACTGACCCTACAAACAAAACCCCCAAATAAATATTAACAAATTAAAAATGAATGCAAATTTACAGAAAATTCTCTCTCTCCCCCACTAATTATGATTTGTTTTTTTAATGTTCCTAACTTAAATTTCCCATTTTTCTTTATTCAAGGGTATCTTACAAATTCCTAAGGCAGCAAGTCATTTGGTGGGCTAGTTTTCTTGTTGCCAGTCTACTTTCGTGGTTCGCATTCTTACCATTGTTATGTTTTCCAACTAATTTACCTGGTGAGTATAAAAGTATAATTAATCAGTTAGAGTGAGTCATGCTCTCAGTCCCACTCGCAAAGCAGAGACAAACTATATTTCTTTATTCATACAATTTTCCTGCAGGTATTGCTCTGTGATAAATACTATCATAGTGTTGTTGTTTTGTTTGCTTGTTTTTCACCAAAATCAAGGAATATTACACCCAAACATTATACTTATACACTACAAATTAACTAGTGTATACTTATGTCACTCATTATTTCCTTTTATTAATGTATTTTTTGTTTAAAGTGCATAATTGTCTTTAAAAATGAACTATCCCAAATCTACTTACCCTAGTGCATTAGTCAGGATCCTCTAAAGTAACAGAATATATAGAATGAATCATTCTACATATAGAAAGAGGAGTTATTAGAATGACTTACAGGCCATGGTCCACTTAATCCAACAATGGCTGCCTCTGAACAGAAGGTCCAAGAATCCTTTAGTTTTTCAGTCCATTAGGCTTAATGTATCAGCTGGTCTTAACTATACAGTGGAATCCTGAAGAGTTAGGTTGAAATGCAGTGAAGGAATGGACTTCCTAATGAAGGCAAGAGCAAGCAGGCAAAGAGCAAAATTGCCTGAACATTCTGTTATTAAAGAAATACAAATGGAAATTACAATATACCTAAACATTTGGGATGCAAATAAAACAGTTGTGGAAAGGAAAGCTCATCTCTATCAGAACATATGCCAAAAACTCAAATAGTCACATCTTAAGGAACAACAAATGGACAATGAACATTTGAAAAAATGTTCAACATCTTCTCCCATTAAGGAAACTCAAAATAAACCTGCATTGAAATTATATCTTGACTTATTTAGAATAGTGTAGTCAAGAGAATAAACACTAATGAGGATTTGAGGTATGAAAAACCCTTACTGCTGGTGGGAATATAAACTTGTACAGTAACTCTGGAGGTCCCACAAAAGAACAAAATCTGAAAATAAGGGGCCAGAGAGACATCTTAGCAGTTAGGAATGCATACCACTATGCAAGGGACCTGAGTTTGGTCACAACTGCCTGTATCTCTGGGCTTCAGAAGCAATTCCTTATGTGTGCATACTCAAAATTGCACAACACACACACACACACACACACACACACACACACACACACATACACATAATTAAAAAGTTAAATAACTTTACCATATGACCTAGTTATACCACTCATTGACGTGCATGCCTGAAGGACTCTACCACAGAAATAGCTGTGTGTTTTTACTTATTGCCTCACTATTTAAAATAGTAAGAAAGTTGAACCAATCTAGGTGTTCACAAATAGTTTAACAGGACAAAGAAAATGGAGCACCTTTGTGTTGGGAGCACAAAGGTCCTAATATGCACAGATCTCCAGGGTAACACAGGACTATCCTCTGAAAGGAATGGACATGTAATCCGTTCTTCCATCCAGAAGGCCGGAAATTGGAGATTATTAACATCCCAGTGATGTGTTATCTGTTTGGCCAGGCCACTCCACCAGGAGTGGAGGCAGCTAGTATCTAAATGATCCTTACATTACCTGTATAGTCAGGGATGTCCACAAGCTCCCACAACCAGGACCTGAGATACGGAATAGTCTAAATGACCTTTATACTATCCATATAACCAAGGGTTCCTTCAAACACCCACAACCACCACCACAAGTGGCTAATCACCCAAATGAACTCACTGCTGTCTGTAAGACTGAGACTTAGGCAGGTTCTTTCTTAGGACTTTGAGCTAGTACAGAATCCATCTTCTTGAAAGAAATGGCACGTGCCCTCAGTTGAGTTTGGATGTAATTACTACACACTGTGTGTATCAGCAATTGTGATACACCAGGAAACTATTTTTCCAAATTATATTGTGCTTAATGGAGTCAATCTAAACTGAATTTTCATTCTGACCACTTCATGGTTCATTTCACTGCCTGATACCCACAGTGACACCTGACCAATGTACAATGGAATTTTATTTAGCCATAAAGGAAGATAAAAACCATGAAAATTTTAAGAAAACTGATAGAACTAGAAAATATTAACTTAAGTTGAACCAGTAAGACTCAGAAAGTCAAATACTAATTTTTTTCTTCCATACATGAGATGTGAATTCAAAAATATGTATATATACATATATATGTGCATGTGTGCACATGTGTGTAAGTGTATATTCATGTGTGTGTTTGTTGTGGGAGGTGACTGAACTAGAAAGATGAACATATGAGGTACTGAAGAGAGCTTAAAGGAAGTTGGATATACAGTAACAAATTACCAATAATTTATAAGCAAAAGTTGAGACTTAACAGGATCTAGGAGTCAACTGAAGAGGAAAGATGACATATGGGAGACAATAGAGAATGGGAACAAGTGAGAACAAAGTATGATAACATATAAGCATGAAAATACAGTTACGAAATCAACTACTTTATATTCTAAACCACGGTATTTAAAAATAACTGTCTAACCACTTTAGCAATCAAAGAAATAATAATTGACTGTTTTGTAATTCAGTCACTCACCATCCAAACTAGACATCTTTCACAAGCAATTGAAATCTTCATGACTGCCACTGCACTACTAGCAACATCCATGATATAAAACCAGCCTTGGCATCTACCAAAAGATGACTAGAAAAGGACAATGTGTTAACCCAGGGCCCTTCACTCAGATATAAAGAAAAGTCATAACAGTTGCAGGAAAAATCTTAGATGGCATATACATGCAGGACATGAAGGGAGAAAAGGGGGCTGTGTAAGAAGAAAAGATAAAGGGAGAGGACAATGTCAAGTAAGAAAAAGTGTAATGATATGTGTATGAGAATGAAAATATTAGTTAACATTTACTACTACTGCTACTACTATTACATTATTGATATGTATTGTTACAAAAAGTTCTCACTTGTTAGTATTTCGTTATATATGAAGATGGGTTTGGGGGGATATTTTAGGGCTGTGTTATCAAATCTTAATTTATTGGGATGTGGCTATTGAATTCTACATTAAATTAGCAACCAATTAATTCAGTCATAGAAAGCACCCGTTCAGCAGATAAGAGACATACATAGTGGCTGACTGCAGAATTGGGCAGTGCAGATGTGAAAATTTTCATTATCAAATAATTGTCTTTTGAGAATCACTACTGTAAAAGAATTTGCATTCTAAAATATACATTGGTTTTAGTTTGTTTAAAAATAATTCACTTGACTTTCCATGACAAACTGGGGTTATTATGACGTGTAGAAATGCACGGTGTATTTTCTTACTGGCTTCAACATAAGATTGCTTTACTTGTGACCTGTAGGTGCACACAAGCTAAGACATCGGAAAGAAAAGGAAGCTCTCGCCTTTGATAAGAGACTTAAATTTAAAAAATTTGGACTTCATGTGAAGGATTTGTTTGGTGCTCTTCAGGTAAAGTAAAATAATTTTGTTACCAAGCCAGTTAAGTCAACCTGTTTAATTTTTATATAGTTAACAAAATGGCAAAGTGTTTACTAAATTTAGGTGAAATTTCTGTACTCTCTTAATTAAATTGCTCATTTTCCTTGTAAAGAAAAGGAAGAGACTTTTATTATTTAGCATTGCCAATCTCTAGTGCTAGAGACTGATGATGCACAACTGCAATTTTGATTTATTCTTTAATAGAGTTTATATTATTTTGTGTTTATGGTCTCAGGAACAAGATGACATGAATTGGAAGAACTTGTGTCTACACATAACTCCCACAAACATCCAAAACTCAAAACATTGAATATAAAATCCTTTCTTTCTATAGATAAGAAACAGGCCTATCATCGTAGCAGATACCAGGATGAGAGAAAGCCCCTTCCAATACTCCTGTCCTAGTTTGAATGTTTTTGTTTTTTGTTTTTTGTTTTTGTTTTTGTTTTGTAAGTGAAACTTTCTTTCTGGCATATATATTGCATGGTACCTCATTGCAGCTTTCACTTGCATTTCCTCCATGGTTAATTGTTTTTAACATTTTTGTATTATTTCTCATCTGTTTATATTTCTTCTTTCGATACATATTCAGACTATATGTCCATTTTTAGATTGATTACCTTTGCGTTGTTAAGGAGCTTCAAGACCTTATCTGCTTGTGTATTAATCCTTGAACAGAATAATAGGTGGCAAGCATTTTCTCCCATTCTACAGGTGGTTTCTTCACTCCAGTAGCAGTTTTCCTTACTGAACAGAAGCTTCTTGCTTTTTAAATGATCACATTTATCTGTGATGCTTCTGTTTTCTGTACCTTTGCAGTCATAGATAAAATTGGATTATAATCTAAAACATAATCACAAAATTATAATTCAGAAACTCATTTAACAGCTAGACATAAAAATTTCATGAAGAAAATTGAACTTAACATATCTGTATTAATAAACACTTTGGGTAGATTGACAGATGTGTAATGCTAATTCATAAAGTTGTTATGGCTATTATTGAGATACTTAGTCAAATAATCTAGAAATTCAGTACAATAATAATCAATCATATGGCACGGGTTTTATATTTTAAATAATACCAAATTGTTCTAAATTTTATATGGCAGAATATAGGCTCAAATATAGGTAAAGCAAGCAGCATTTATCCAGTAACAATGATAAAATGATTAAAGACCAGAGTAATAAGAATAGTACAGCATTTTTATCTGCATCTAAATGAAATAGAGAAGACAACTGAAAATGGTTATATGTCTGTACCTGTGCATATATTAAAGAAGCATTTGTTATATGATATAAGCAATGGAAGGTACCAATATCAGAATTCCTATCTCATATATATTATGTACATAGATACTTTTCCAGTTTTACCACGTTCTTTAGGCAAAATAAAGTAGTTAACATTGACAGTGGAAGATATATACAATAAAGAAATTGAAATGTGTTTTAAACAAGTCTTAGCAATGCAAAACACAAAATAAACATCCATATGTTAGATAACAATGCTTGTTCTATGAATGACTCTGTAGATGGCACATTAAATGAGTAACTGCTACCTAAATTCAAAGGTAATATATAGAATTTTTAAAAAATCTACCAAAACCATAAGAATGTGCAATGGAATAGTACACATACAGAGAGTCACTTATACACTGAATGAACTCTAAATTATATGAGGAAACACACGGTTTATTATATTTGCATGTGTGTTAATATTCATTCATGTTCAGGTTCACATGCACATGTATGCATATACATGAGTAATCCAAATGATTTCAGGTGCCATTCCTCAGCTAGTATACACATTTGTTTTCATTTTTGAGACATGCTAGTCTGAAACTTGCTATGTCTCTAGACCAGCTTGCTAGTAGGTCTCAGGAATTATTACCCAGTCTCCATCTCTCAGCACTGATATAATGAGTGTGTACCACTGTGCCTGGAATGTTTTGTATAGGTTCTTGAGATCGAGTTTCTTGAACAACCCAAGCATTTTGCCAAATTATTTGTCTCTACAGCCCACCAAATGCACATTTATATTTGAAAACATAGAAACACAAAAGAAATACTGCCTTGTGTATATCTGTATGACAAAATTTTGAATGCCTACACATGTTAGCAAGGGTTAACAAATGTTTCTAATTATATGGCCTATGCCACTTAGCTATAGCTATGTGACAAAACTTAGTGTGATAGAATACTATTTTACTCATCAGTGCAAAATCGTATGAGGTTTATCCCATTAATTATACATGGGGCGATGAAAGTGCTCACAATCTAAAGGATGGAAATATCTCAAGGCTTCTTTGCTCTAATATTAGCATTATTATTGGCCAATAATAATCTTCTAAAGAACACTCACACATGGTCTTGCTGTCCCTTCCTGTACTCAGTGACTTAGTGATGAAATGGTACATGCCTGCAAGGGCCAAACCTGAGGTATTGTTCTGAGGAATCTTAGAGTAGAAACTGTGCCACTAAGTAAAGTGACTCTGAGATATTGAGGTGTTGTTATTAAAAGATACAACCTGAAGAAAAATTTGGAGCAAAAAAGTGAAATAAATTCCATTTATTTATTTATTTATTTATTTATTTATTTATTTATTTATAAATAAAGCCCCAATATCTATAAATGCCCTCTAAGAACACACAATCCTAAAGATACTCTTGTCAAAGGAGATTAAGAGTAGAGGCATGGGGATTTTTATTGTAACTATGTTGGTGACACTGGGGAGTTGAAGATGACACAGATTTTTAATCCTATAGGACTCAACAGGTACTGTGTAATCTCATGATGATGAAAATTTAGAGAACCTTCACCAGATGGCTCAACTAAATGCAAGATATGAGTGTATCTAATAAGACACTGGAAGATACCCTCAACAAACTGACAGATGCAGAGATAAGAGCTCTGTTTGCAGTAGAAAGTAGCCTAACTACAAATCTGTTATGCCGCATGTCTACTAGGGAATTACATACATTCCATTTGGATTATGGGGAAATAGTTCTGCGGACAGATAATCAGCGTGGGATGAGATGAAATCATTGTGATATGACTTGTTCTCTTTCAGTGTCTGTCCAAGTCCCAGCTGCTGATATGCCAAGCAATGTGCAAAGCCACAGAGTCCCTGTCTTACATCGGAGCTACAGAATTTTTGCCCAAATATTTAGAAAATCAGTTTTTGTTATCTCCCGCACTTGCTACTCTGCTTACAGGTAGATTCTTCTTCTTACTGCTCAGATTTCCAATTTTTCATGATGAATGTATTCAAATGTGGTATGTATATTTAAGAAACATGTCATGGAAGCAGAAGGCATGGGGTGCAGTGTACTTGGATGTCATTTGTTAAAACTGTTAAAAAAATAACACTCCAACACTACCTCCATATTTTTCATACAATACTTCACTCATCTGTTTATATTGCTTATGGTCTTCCTGCCTCCCATTTGTACAACTGGCGATTTCCTTTTCCCTCCTCTCCCCATCGTACATAAGTGATGCATATCATAAAATTTTAACTGGACATGATTCAATAACATTGCTTTTAACATATATATATATTAGACATCATATATATACATATATATATGCAATATATATATATATATATA